AATGCTGTGGTTTTGCCCCTGGTATCAACAGAGCTTGCCTGGTAGGTGGGTGGGGTATTGGGATTTATGTTGTAGACAAATTCAGGAACACTTCAGTCTTTTTCCTTTTTTCTTTTTTTTCCCCCCCTTACAAAGCTTTTGAAAGTCCACTGGGGACCCCTAACGTTCAGCTGCTGCTGAAGCACACACTTCAAAGCCAGAGCTGCACACTTCTGTAGCCACCTATGGGTTTGATCATTCTGATGGGTTTTCATTGCAGGCAGTAATGCTCCCTTTCCCCTGCTAAAAGTCATCTTTCTGGAAAGTTCTGAGAGCTCCTCAAAATGTTTGGTAAAACAACATTTCTATTGTCATAAAACATGCCAGCCACATTAAACAGGATAGGCCCTGGAGATGCTTTGAGAGGCAGAAACCTTCGTGCAGCCTGCATAGCAGGTAGGACCCTTTCCTGCCCTGAGCCGTGGCAGCAGAAAAGTGCTTAGAAGTCACAGTTATTGCAAAAGGCATTGGGAGGAATAACTCTGTGGGGATTTCTAAGGATGTCAGTGACAAATTGACAGATGCTCAGCTCTCCATAAACTCCTACTGCCTAGTCCCTAAACCCACACATGTCCCCATGGCTGCCTCACTTCTCTCCATAGAAAATCTCCTCTGCCCACATTCTAAGGCCTGCACCGAGCTGGGCAGCCTCCATGACCAAAACCTACAGTCCCCACATTGCCCTCAACCAGGGCAGATGGGAATTGCTGTTATCATAGCCTTTTGTCCTGGTTTCCTAGTGCCTCTTCTGGTGGGACCAAGCAGGATAGACAAATACGTCCATTGCAGCCTGGTTTAGGGTTTTTTTATGCCAAATTCATGAGATCAGCTTTTCTCTCTCTTATGGCAGAAATCTGTTGTGTTTCACAGACCAGCATTAATATCATTATAACTTCCCCCCCCAGCCAAAGGCAACAGAGTGATCAGTTACTGGGAGTGGGTAGCCACACCAAATCCACCTGAAAGTTTGGGCAGAAAAATGTTAGAAATGCAGCTGGAGTAAGTTCCCTGCTCTCTTTCATGCCTCCAATCCCAAGTAAATCAGAAAAAAATCATGCTTTCTAAGTGGCTTCTAACATAATGAAAGTCAATTAGATTGATGCAAACGGAGCTGATAACTGCAGGTTTTCATCACTGACTCCATGCTAAATGTCTGTACAGTGTGGTTTGCAAGGAAGTAAGGGTGCATGGAGAGGAAAGGATGGGGTTTTTAAAAGCAGTTAAATTGCCTCTAATTAGGAACACAACTGTAGTCAAAACATAATGTGAGGATAATAAATTGATATTTGCATAATGGAAATACTACCAAACTGTACTTCAAATAAGCTGAATTAGATTATAATTAGAGCTGTGTTTTGGGAAAGAAAATCCTTCTAATTGCCTGAGTACAGGCAGTGCCAAGGAGAAGAGGGCTGGCAGCTGCCAGGGAGGTCCTGTGCGGGACAAGCACTCCACAACCAGGGACTATTCCCTGCAGGGGGGATAGGGTGCCCACACCTACCAGCAGCCAGCACAGCCAGAGCGAAGCAGATCTGTGGAGAAAAAAGGAAAAAGCAGGAGGAATGTGAGGGTGCGGACTCTCAGCCATCGACTGCAAAACTCAAAACTGAAAGAAAATCCAGGGTGAAATTGTATGGGCAGCAATTAGGGTGGAAAACACCCGTGTCTCAGAGGAGATGATGTGAAGGTAAAAATACAAGTGTTAAACCTGCAAATTGCAGGAAACCAGTGAACATCTTTTTCTGGTGAAATCTCGGCACTATACTGAGTTGCAATGGCCTCTTCTTCCTGCTGTTTGATAACTGGCTTTATTAAACCAACAGTAATCTTTTTTCTGCTGGAACATGGTGAGGTTGCTCGTGATTTATTGTCAAGCTCTTACTACTCTTTATTAAAAAACAGGCCACCTGGACAGCACTGGATGACAGGTCACTTGCCTGTTGTACAAGACTATGTATATCAGCAAGGAAGCTACAGCTGAGATAAAGGAAAAAATGTTATATTCCAAAACAGCTCTTTTTGAGATAATGAACATAGTAATTACAGCTTGTCACTGAAGTGAAGGCAGCATGAACCTTGAGGCTGACTTGTTGCCTGGTAGCTGCAGAATCTCATGGTCAGTGTTAATGCCCATTTTAGTGCTGGGCAGTGACACTATCCAGGTAGGAAAATTGATCAGCATACAAAAGCCTGCTCACTCATTTTGACTGGGGGACAGAAAAAGGTGATTTCTTAAGTTCCATGTGTATTGGGTTTGCATGGCCAGGTTTTGATAGTGAGGGGGCTATGGGGTTGGCTTCTTGAGAAACTGCCAGAAGCTTCCTCAAGAAGCCAGTTCCAGCTGGCTCCAGGACAGACCTGCTACTGGTCAAGGCTGAGCCAAACAGAGATGGTTGTAATGCCTCTGTGATGACATATTTAAGAAGGAAAAAAGTTATTGTGCAGATCTAATTGCAGCTAGAGAAGAAAGGAGTGAGAATATGTGATAGGAAAAACTACACAGAAGCAAGGTCAGTGGAGAAGGAGGGGGAGGAGGTGCTCCAGACACTGGAGTGGAGATTCCCCTGCAGCCTCTGGTGCAGACCATGGTGAAGCAGCTGTGCCTCTGCAGCCCATGGAGGTCAACAGGGATGCAGAGATCCATCTGCAGCCTGTGGAGGAGACCCATGCTGGAGCAGGTGGATGCCTGAAAGAGACAGTGAACTCATGGGAAATCCATGCTGGAGTAGGGTCCTGGCAGGCACCGGCAGGCCCATGAAGAGAGGAGCCTACACTAGAGTAGGTTTCCTGGTAGGATTTGTCCTCATGGGAGACTTGCACTGGAGCAGCCTGTGCCTGAAGGACTGCACCCTGCAAAAAGTGACTCATGTTGGAGCAGTTTGTGAAGAACTGCAGCCTGTGGGAAGGACTCATGTTGGAGAAGTTTGTGGAGAACTGTCTCCTATGGAATGGACCTCACACTGGAGCAGGAGAAGGACTCCTTTCCCTGAGGAGGAAGCAGCATCAGAAACAACCTGTGATGAACTGACCTCAGCACCCATCCCTGTCTACCTGCACTGCTGGGGGGTAGGTGTTTTTAAGATTTATTTTATTTCTCATTTTCCTGCTCTGATTTTGTTAGTAATAAATTCAGTTAATATGCCCAAGTTCAGTCTGTTTTGCCTCTAATCAGTGAGTGATCTCTCCCACTCCATATCTCAACTCATGAGGCTTTCGTTCTATTTTCTCTCTCCAGTCCAGTTGCAGAGGGGAGTAAGAGAGCAGCTTTGGTAGGTACCTGGCACCCAACCAGGGTCAACCCATACTGCAAAATACAATGACCCTGCCCACCAGGCTCTCAACATATTTGCTCCTCAAATACCCAGGTCAGTACACCTTAACTCACCGAGGCAGTGCCTTATGTCATATCTGGGCCACTTACAGCATCATCCTGAACCCAGTGGCAATAAGAAAGGGGTGTGAATTTGGGCATCACCGGTTGGTGGAAGTGTACTACAGGATATGGCTCTCCCCAGCCATGCTTGAATGTCCCTCTGATATTGGCTGCTGTGGTTAGGGAGGATGAAGAAAATGAGGATGATTTCGGGGGTAGAGGAGTGGCAGAAGACACTATGGTTCTGGGTTTCAGTGGGGATGTTGAGACAGCTCTTCACGTTATTTTCTCAGTGGATGCTGCATTATGGGGAAAAAACCTGAATTTTCCTGCTCACAGGCACAAAAAGGAGGGTAGCACAGGCCTGGAAAGGATGCCTAGTGCACTTAACTGGTATGTCTCTCTCTATATGAGATGTATAGCATAGGTCTAGTTTCCAAATCAGGAGCTACAGCTCATGCGCGTTCATGAGAAAAAAAAAAAAAAAGCAGGTCTGAGACGTGATGCAGCACAAGTCTCATGCCAAGGGAAATATTCCCCTGTCTATAAAGGGTCCTGGTTCGGGGCACCAGTCCACAGCCACTACAGAGGCCACTGATATGAGCTCCTTTAATATTTGGAAAATGGTGTCTTGCTTTTCTGCTTGAGGAAGAGAGAAAATCTCCTGGTGCTCTGCTCTGCTGTGCAGTTTGTGGTACCAGATTTAATAAAGGCATGCGTGGGAGGGAGCACAGAAGGGAAAGAGAAAGGAGACAAGCAGGGGGAGCAGGCAGCTGCACTGCATCAGAGAGCATTGGTCTGCAGCACATGGTGCCAGGGCTGAGGGAGGCAGAAGGATAGCCAGGCCCCAGGTCTCCTCCCCTCTGTGCTCTCCTCTTGGGAGCAAGATGCAGAACTGGCCCTGAGGAGCCCAGACTGGGGACAGTCAGGTGAGAAGAGACAAAGTCTGGCTATCCCTTGCTTAATGTGTGGCCATCAGCCCCTGCCTCCCTCCACTGCACTGAGTGCTGGCACGTTGTGCCTGTGGGACGCACCCCAGTTGTTGCCAGCATCACTCTAGAAAGATATTGAGGCTGACACCCAAGATGGGACAGGAAAATAGGAGCCTGCCCAAAGTACTTCACATCTTTGCCTACAAGTCACAGCACAAACACAGTTCTCAGAAACCAAAGCCTGGCCCCCCACCACAGGCTTGCTGTCCCATTTGCTCCCTCAGTGGCAACCCCTGGGTCTCAGGCCCACCAGCGAGGCCTCAGGCACCCAGGGGGAGCGCAGGACCTCATGTGTGCAACAAGTGAGCTGGATAATCACGGTAGCAAGAAGGGAAAGATTGCACACCAACAAAGGCAGCCCTGGGAAACAATTTTATTGCCAGCAAAATGCTGCGGGTCTTTGTTTAGTGAGTGCACTTCCCATGAAATGCAATTGCTCACTGTGGTTTTAAACCGAGACCACCCTGAAAATGAAGGCAGTTTCCATTAAACTGAATTACTTTTCCCCAAAACTGGCATGACAGTGGTAATGCCAATAAGGAATGATAGCATTAAGTGAGAGCATCATTTATATTTTCTATTAAATCGCTGTCATTTCTATTACAAATGGCATCGTGCATGCATGCCACGCTGATTTAAAGTGATAAAGGCTTAGTCACGATTAGTTATCACAATGCCTAAGCAGAGCATGAAATACAGGTAGCACAAATGTGCAGCAACCCCACACCAAGTCCAGGTGAACGCTGGGATCTAATCTGAACTTAGTATTAGCAGATAAGTTGGTACAAACATAGTGGTGTTTTTTCAAAAACATTCATATGCCCATCGCCAGTGTAACCCTGAAGGCTATTTGTCTCCTCCACCTCACCTTTTCCATGCTCTTCAGAAGTGGCGAGTCAGGAAGCGAAAAGAGAAGGTGCAGCAACACATGACTGCCATAGATCTGACCATGGAGATCCAGTACAAAGCAAGTGCAACGTTCAATGAATGACTCAAATGCCTAAAGACACTCAGCAAGGAGAATGTGGGGTTGCTAAGTTGGCAAGGTTGGACGAGCACTGGTGTTGCAGCAGTCAATCAGGGAAGGTTTCTGCTCTTGAGGATGTTTTCCAAAAGTTGCTGAGCTTCCTGGAGCCCATGGGCTGCTGCCACACTGAGAAGTTTCTCCACTTCCCTGAAGGACATGAAACTTTCATCAAGAAAATTTAGGAGGATGTTTGATTCATTCATAGCTATATTTCAATTACCCAGGCTTTTATAAGTGGAACACAGCTACTGAAAATGTCTGCAAAGTTTACTCTCCACTATTCAGAAAATTATCTGATTTTCCTTCTGCTTTTCCCTGTGGTCTGAGCACATGTGTTTTCGGTTTGGTGATTTTCTCATCTTAGTTGAAGTAGAGATGGGTTTGGAGCTCTTGAAATCCCATTCAAAACATGAGTCTGCCCCATCATGTGACATGCAGTGGAAATTGAAACAAAACGTGCTGGCCACAAGGTTTGCCCAAACAATGCTATTTTAGCTTCATTTAGTTCAAAACTGCTCTCTCCAACCTCAATTTCAATTTTCAGACTTGAAGTAAACGCAAAAAAATCAAAACTAAACAATACACAAAATCGATCAATCACTGTGTTGGGAACTCATCAGTTGTTTTAGCTTCACTTAGCCCCAGGACTAGTCGCCACAGCAAATGTATAAAGCACAAGGCAAGTTTTCTTTGGCTGTGGGCCTTGCTGGGAACACTGGTGTGAAGTTTGCACAGGCACATTAGGGAGAAAAATGTGTCCTGAGTGGTTTCAACCCAACCCCCAGGCAGACAACAGGAAACTTCTCATTGACTTCACTGGATGGGAAGAAGAGCGAAAAGGGAGTTCCCCCCAAAAAGAAAGGTCTTTATAGCAGAAAATTCACATGTCACTTCAATAGCTCTTTCTATACCAGTATGGGTCTTGTCCCTTGCCTTGATTGGGAAATCATAATGGAAATACATATGCATTCAGACCACAGGAATTTTGTGTACTGTGGCACTTAATTTTTAAAATCTCATTGGACTAACTGGAGTTTTTGGTTTTCCTCTGCAGGTAGGGCTGCATTACTGACATTACAAGAAGAGGGCATTAGAAATGCCAGAGTAGCTTCATGCATGGAGTACTTACAGCACCAGTTTCCCCCCCACCTCCCCAGGAGGAGCTGGGAATGCAGCTGTAATGGGAAGGAAAAGGATTAACTCATGTTACCCTTCTTCAAGTGCCATGGTCATGTTTCTGAGTGCCCCCACCACCAGGTTGAAGGAGGAGTGGGGATGGCCCTGCCCCGCAGCCTGCCTGCAGGGGGGAAGACAAGCAAAGTCAATGGTAAGAGACATACAGAAGAAGAAAAACGGAGTTTGAATGTTTCAAAATGAGGTAAGAGCTGTCCTGATTTTGGCTGAGGTAGAGTTACTTGTCTTCCTAGTAGCTGGTACAGTGCTGTGCTTTGGATTCAGTATGAGAATAATGTAGATAACACATTGATGTTTTGATTGTTGCTGAGCAGAGCTTACCCTAAATTCATGATTTTTCAGTTTTCCATGTTCTGGCAGTGGGGAGGTGTAGAAGAAGCTGGGAGGGAGCATGGCCAGGACAGCTGACTCAAACTGGCCAAAGGGATATTCCACACCATAGTGTCATGCTCAATATATAAACTGGGGGGGAGTTGGCCAGGAGCTGCCCATCACTTGTTGGGGACAGGCTGGGCATTGGTCAATGAGTGGTAAGCAACTGTATTGGGCATCACTTGTGTTTCTTGGGGTTTATTCCTCTCTTTTATTATTATTATTATTGTTATACTTTATTTCAATTATTAAACTGCTCTTTTCTCAACCCACAAGTTCTACCTTTTTCCAATTCTCCTCCCCATCCCACAGGGCTGGGAGGGGAGTGGGGAAATCAGTGAGTGGTGGTGTGGTACTTAGTTGCTTAGATGAGGTTAAACCACGACAGAGCAAATAAGGAAGAAGGCATGTATAATTCACTGTTCTGAAATGTGACTCCTTCAAAATGTTCAGGCCCTGATTTGGAAAACATCTTTATTCAGAAAGGCACAAAGGCTTCAGCATTTCTCTAGGTAGAGATGTCCTTAATGATGCCTTCTTTGATTACAACTCCTGCTGTTACAGGCATAGTTATTTCAGCCCTTCGTGTAGCTTGAGGCTGTTCTATGCCCTGAGCAGACACAGGGGAAACATCTAACGTGCCCCCCTCCTCTCCCCTCACTTTTTGGGTAGCACAGTAACTTCCCCCATCTCTCATTCTTCTCATTTCTCACCAAGAGTGTTAGGATTTCAGGGGATGCAGCTCTGGCTCCTACCACAGGTGTGACCACTGTGGGTACCACAGCAAATGCACACACAGGCATGGCTGCCTCGTTTATGTGGCAGAAACCTCTTGGGAGGGTGTGCTGAGAGCAGGAAATTAATATGTTGCTGTACCTTGATTTTCCATTGCCTCAGCAGTTCCTGGCTCACTCCCCTCCTGCGCCTGTGCATTTTCCCTGCTGCCCACCTGCAGCTCAAACCTCCCCAAAAGGGTATTCAGCAAAACCAGCATTCTCTGCACTCTTGCTGCCGAGACTCTTTCTTTCACTGATTTAAAAAAATAGCAATAGTAGGTGGAGAAAGTGGAGCAAAGCATATGACCCACAGTGAGAAGCTGGGAGCTCCAGATCTCCCTGCTGCCACCTGCGAACCTCCCTCCCGCTGCCACAGGACAGCTCAGTGCAGCTGTCCCCCAAAGCACTGCCAGCTCTTCTTCCTTCTCCCATGCCACAGTAGCCTTTTGCCAGAAGAAGCCAATTTCCAACAGCAAGAATTGTGCCTCACCTGAACCAGTGCATAGCCATGTCCTCATTTTTTTCCACTCCGGTTCCTGGGTGTGAGACAAGGTATCAAAGTCACAGATAGGTTATAGAATACAGCATCCAAAATCCAGCAGTGTGGTGGTACCACATACCACAGAGCCATGTTTGTAGTTCTGGCTTATAAGCATACCTACTCTGGCAGCAAGTTAGCCATGGATTGGAGAAACATTACCTTGTAAATACCTCTGTCCCAGGATGTGCTGGGCATTGGGGTACCCCAGGCGAGCATACAAATGAGCCACGTGGAAATGGAAATTCTCATAGCACAGTGGAATGTAGAGCAGGAGGAGGCCAGCGATGATTACAGCTGCCAACTGTAAAAGAGGAGCAGTCATGATGCAAGGAAGAAAATAAACTGAGGACCAGCTACAGCAAATATTTCATCTGAGCTCTGAAGCCTCCCAAAGCTATTCCCCACAGATAAATGGGAGGAAAGTCTCACATAACCACAGAAAACCAAAGTCACCTTCGATAGAGAGCCAGTTCCAGAGTTTCCACTGAAGCTGGCAGAAAAAGCCCCACTGAATTCAGTGAGCAGTACATCAGCTCCTGAGTTAATTTCCCCTTTAAGGTCTGCTACAGCAAAGGAAACTACAATAATTTTATTTTCTAGTGGTCCTATTGAAGAAAAAGGGAAAAAAAATCATAAAGTGCCATCAGGCTTTTACAAACATTCTATCAAAGAGGCTTGCCAGAAGTAGTCTCATTCCCCAGGCAGCTAGGTCCTTGGCCCACCACTGCCCACAGCATTGCATATGGATGTGAGCACTCACAAAATCACAGAATGGTTCAGGTTGGAAGGTACCACAGTGGGTCATCTGGTCTAACCTCCCTGTTCAAGCAGGGTCATCCTAGAGCACATCAAACAGGATTGTGTCCAGACAGATCTTGAATATCTCCAGTGAGGGAGACTCCACACCCTCTCTGGGCAATCTGTTCCAGTGCTCAGTCACACGCACAGTAAAGTTCTTTCTCACATTCAGATGAAACTGCTTGTGCATCAGTTTCTGCCTGTTGCCTCTTGTCCTGTTGCTTGGCACCACTGAGAAGAGCCTGGATCCTTCCACTTGACACCCTCCCTTTAGATACTGATAGGCACTGACGAAGTCCCCTATCAGTTGCCTCCTCTCAAGGCTGAACAGGCCTGGCTCCTTCAGCCTATCCTTATCTCTTAATCATCCTTGTTACCCTTTGCTGGACCTGCTCCAGGAGTTCCACGTCTCCCTCCCTTTGTGAACATCCTAAAACCTTTCATTCTGTGTTACAGTAAGGACATGCCTACATCCACACCTGACAGGAGAATGACCTTTGGTCTGAAACTCTTCTTTCATCCAAGGTATAAATCAGCAAAAAGTCTGATGAACTGAACCAGCAGGGAAAAAGAGAGACTAGAATTAGGCTATTTCCTTTTTGATGCCAAATTGGATTTTCTTTGTTCAGGGAGCTAGCTATTAGCTTCCAGTGAGAGGAGCTGGCACCTTAAGCATCCACATCTTGGCAGAGTCAGGGATGCCTGGCTAGGAACAGAAAAGCAGGCTTAGGAAAACACTATAGGAGGCCCATGTGGAGCCTCCTGCCTGCACAGGTTACCAGGAGCCCATTGCCTCCCTGCAGGGGAATGCAGGATGTCTCGCCAATGGTGCCAGCCCTGCAGAAGGTAAAACCCTTTCCTACTACATGGGAAGATGGAGACCAGGTAGAGTCCTGAGTGGAAGATGTGTCTTTGAGAACAACAAGGAGGCAAGTGCTGATCAGGTCCCTCAGTGCAACCCTGTGCTGAGATGCAACACTGATGGTATGGGATCCAGAGGAGACCACTAATACCTCGGCCTTCAGCCCTGTAGCTTTGGTGAAAGCAACGATGGATTCTTGGACCTGATGTTCATGGGGACATGCCAAAGCACCTGCAGACTCTCTGCATACCACTGTTCCTCTCCTGTGGACACGGAAGCAGAGCAGATACGAGAAACCCATTTTAACAGCCAAGTCAGAAACAAGTATGAGGGCCTGTCCAGGGCCTGACCACGGCCATTGCAGAACAAGCTCACTTTTTCATCTGGGCATTTCTTGCTACAAGTACTTGTGACTAATGGCTACAGCATGTGGGTTTGTCACCACGCCATGTTCAGAGGGAGCCAAAGGGACAAGAAGCAGCTGCAAAGGACGACAAGATGCAAGAGCTGTAATTGTCAGGGGCTCTTCTGGCCATTATGGATGGTTTGACGCAACCCACAGAGAAAGATGCAAAAAACAACTCTCTCTCTTTTTTGGGGGGGGCACGGGTATAGCACTTCAGGTATATGTAGACCATTGCAAAGCAAATGATGCATTTAGATACTGATCTGCTTCTCAGTTGCCCGTAGGGCATAAGGACAGAGGTGATGTGGGTGTGGCACTTTCTCAATGTTTCATGGGGACTCCTGCACTCCCATGCACCATGATCAGCTGTGGTGACTGCTGGAGGCAGCGTGTTGGTAAGAACTTGTTGGCTCCTAACTGGGACCCAGATCCTAGTTTGGGCCCATGTCTAATCTGGATTAGTGAATGCTGAGGATTAAATGAGCCTAGTTAGCTAATAAAGCTAAGCAAATAAAATAGGTAAGCGATAATGACATGCAAATGCCCCAACATTTGATTTTCTTACAGATAAGCTTAGGGATGTAGGAAATTTTGATACACACACACACACACACCCCATCATACCCATTCAGCCTGTGTGATGCTGTGTGAACTATGCAGCACCGTGTATGTGCTGATGGGTATGTAAGTCCCCGAAAGTCAAGGCAAGTCCAAAAGGAAATGCAAAGAGTGGGAAATGTGGCATTTGAGAGAAGCTGCTTCTATTGCAAGTCTAGTACATCCAATACATGTAACAGCAAACAACCAACCTAGTAAACTAAAGGGAAAAGGATGTGGAGGGCAAGGTGCTGCAGGTCACAGGGGAAACCTCTGTGATCATGCACCACTGCCATTGGGGTACATCCTTGAGTGAATGCTCCCTGCAGGACACCACCTCTCCATGACAATGTCCATGATGATCAGCCATCCACTGCTGGCAGCTTCCATCTCACTATTGCAGAGACACTGTGCCTGGCTCCTTTGAGGCAGATAGCTCAGGAACCACCGGATGTCCACTTTTTGTCCCAAGCTGTTTTTTGAGGGGAGGTTTTCAACTTTTTGCAGTTGTGTAGGCACTGTCAGGTATGGCAAGCAAGACATGTCACAGGCAGTTCCTTTAGAAATGGCCCACTGAGCATCCCTAATCTGATTTTTTTTTGGTGGTGGCTTGGGTTTTTTTTCTATTTTCTTTTCCTAAACCTTCCTAAAGGGTGAGAAAAACCAAGACCTATGCATGACAAAAGGCAGGTGCACAAGGTGCTGGAGCACACTGATCCCAGCTCTGGAAGATGGCACCACCAACACTGGTTCCTTGGCTGCCCACCAGCTTGAAAATGTACCTACAAGCACACAGCTAGTCCCACACAAGCAGAGACATGAGCAAAAATACTCCTTTGCCCTCTGCTGTGGCTGTGGCTACATCTGCTATTTTAAGTGTCTCCAAGACCAAAAGAGAGGGAAACTGAGTGACCTTTCTCAAAAAGCAGCTGCTGATGGAGGGGGGCACCTGAAGTGAGATCTCCTTACAGAAGGGATGAATCAGTGAGGTGCAAGTCCCATGGGCTTCTTCCATCTTGGTTGTCTGTAGCCCTCACCCTCATGGTCAGCATGGGGGACTAAAGGCACAGTGTACCAATAGTCCCTGAAATGAGAGCTCCTCAGGGACCTCAGCCAGGCAACAAGTGCTAGTCTACCTCAAATGCAGGAAGGAACATGGGGAGCTTGTTGCATTGCCCCATGCAGGGGTGTGAAGCAGATCACTGGCCTGAAACCACCTTTGTAGTCTTGGAGGGAGCTCTCAGTTGCTCATCCCACCCTTTTCTTCTGTGGTGACTCATTAGAAACTACTTTGCATTTTTCAAACCTTGCATAGTTGGGGCTGCTCTAAAGCATGGGGGAAGCCCAGTAGTGTTGGTGGGGCTATGCCGGGGAAACAGGCAGTGAGGGACACAAATCAGGCTGGTTCCTACACAGCAGCTTCAGCATCTTGCCTGTGCCATCACCCATGTGCCCAAGCCCACTGTACAGGATCGAAAATATGATCAAGAGGAACACCTAAAAACTCTGCCTATAACGACTGCACTTGAAGATACCACCTTACTGTTTGCTAGCAAAAGCCTCCACTCCCCAGGTAGAGAAAGGCGTCCCAAGACTTGCATTTGAGAGGCTGTTGTGTGCAAGCAGCTCCTGTGGCTTTGACCCACTCTAGCACCAGTGGCTTTCAGGGGCAGGGTGTAACATAACACCCAGTGCCAGCATTCCCACCCTGAACCCATCCCCACACTTACCTCCCAGCTGCTCCATGTTGAGCTGTTGGGGTGAGGGTTCCCACCCCCAGAACAAGGATTTGCCCCACAGGGATCAGCACTGCCCCATCCGTTCCGTCGCAGCCGCACTGCAGGCTTCATGTCCCCCATCTCTCCTTCCCGCAGGGAGTCAGAGCGCCTCATTTTAACCTGGTCTGCTCCCTCTCACCAGGCACCACCACCGCCCTGCCATAAGTCTTACCCATCACCATCCCTTGGTTTCACTCCTGATTTATGGCAGCAGTAGCCCAGCTGCTTCACTAAGATAAGAGAGATGGGTACACATCCCCTTGAAGAGTCATAGAAAAGGAAGATGCTTCTGATGAAAACCTTGCAAATCACCAATGTTTAACTCTCCCTGTGCTGAATATTTCTGTTTCTTCAGACTGGTCCCAGGTGTTGCAAGCCCTCACCAGTAAATTGTTATATTTGACAAATTTGATTACATTTTTTTTTCTGCTTTTTACATGTATGGATTTTGGATAAATGCAAGAACATGCAGGCCTAGCCCCAGGTGAGAAAATTAGAAAACATGCAATGATATACAATTAGGAAATTATCAGAACGTACAAATTCCCACACAAAATTTGTCAGGATGGGATTTTTATTTTTCTAAGCTAGAAAAGAGCTTACTTGTTAAAGTCAGATATTTTATAGCTGCATAATTATGCCTCTATTCATTTGCAGTAACTGCACCTAGTAAATTTCAGATGGTAAATTTTGTTTTGCTTTCGCATCTAAAAAACACCTCTTTTTAATGCAAGATCCCTAATGCATATTACCTTCCTATTCTGAAGTCCTAGCAGAGGATTTTAACCAGATGCCTGGCAGACAAGGTCCGTCTCATGTGAAATGCTGACCTTGTCTGGTTGTCTGACCATAAAAAAGAAAATATTTTCCTTTCCAGTTTTACAGTAAGATAAGTGCTGTGCTTTGGTTTTAAAGAAAACCCCACCCCCAAAGAACAAGGATATCTCTTTGGTTGTGATGACTCAGCCTAAAAACCTTACTGAAGAGGAAACCCTTCATAGTTTCATATTTTATTTCTTGTGTTATGCTGCCACCATTGGGACAATTTCATTTGGTCAGTCACAGCCCCACTACAGTTGAAGAGATTCATCTTTATGTTCCTGATCAAAGTGTGAACCATTTTCACAGTATATCAAATTTAACTGGACAGTAATAGTCATAGTGCAAGATCAACTGTTTCCAAGTGCAAACCTCTGCATTAAGGAAACTCAGAAATTTCCAAAACAAGCCCAGAGCAGAAGGCCCTTCACTGCAGCAAAGAAGAGATGAAAGAAGGTAATACCTACTTAACCTTTTTTTCTTTTCTCAGCTCCAATTACTAGAATTTAAAGATGAAGAAAAAAAGACAAAAACACAACACCCCTCTGGGAGTTATCCTTCCTAGGAATGATACACCCTTAGCTACAATTTCCAACTTTGGCAGAAGTGAACTCCAGAGTTAATCTTATTACTATTTGTAAAGGTGTATTGGTAACAGTTATATTTGTACTGACACCTCAGCTAGCTCTGGGAAATCAGTACTTTTCTCGGTATAAAACAGACCCTGGGGCTTGCAGTTCTTTGTTGCAGATGACTAAAAATGAGAACATATTATTAATTATGCATTGTTCAGTGAGAGCCATGCTGTCTGTGTCACAAGCCAGGTGCAGTACAGGATCTCATTCCAGTTGTGAGCTTCAGTTACTTCTCTACAAAATCCAATCTACACCATGAGGAAGAAATAAACCAGGTTGTCACACTAGAAACAAAAGATGGCTGTACTAGCTGTCTCCTACCAATAAAGAAGAATTGGATCCCCTCTACTTGCAATGACTTTGGCAAGGAAAGGGCAAGTCCGCCATGAATTTTCTCTCTGCTCTTCCAAAGGGCAGGTGGCATTTCTTCTTTTTCCCTTTCATTTTCACAGAACAAGTTTTGAAGAACCATTTCCAGCTCCTGCAAAGGAACATTTTGACTGAAATTCTGGAACAAGGCACCTTCAGGAAAACACATTCTTTTTCACATTTTTCCAGGTTGCTTTCTTAGGAAAAGAAATTGGTATAACCAAATTGCTATGTCTGGTAAAAGCCTATTTAATTACAATATCCTCTGGGCATAGGTATCACATGGCAAATGAGAGCCACTTGAGAGTTGCCCAGCTTGAACACAGTTGGAGAAGTCCTTGCATATGGCTTTGTAGCCAGCACAAAAGATCATGTCAATATAATTATTTAGAATGGAGCTCAAATATGGGTAAGGGTGAGGACCAAGGCACTTAGCAACAAGAGAATTTTGAGGGATAAGTTTCTGTGTAAGACAATGGAAGGATGAGGGTAAGGAGTTCTGGCTGCCACTGTCTCTGACAGACTCTCATTTCACTTTGCCTAACTAGCTGTAGCTTCCTTTCAGAGCTGGCTAAACAAGAACGAGATAAAAATCTATTCAGGCTAGTCATTATGACTATTAATAGCTGATACAAAGGAGTATAATGAATAGTGTAGATATAAGGGTAGTTCAAGTCTCTCTGAAATCAGTATGCAAGTGTTATCTGCAGAGCTATTACAGAGACCTGTATTGAGTTAAGAGAATAGAAATTTGGCAGAAAATAAACCCTCCTGCTTTCCAGCTAGCCCTCAGGGAGGCTGGGTGCAACTAGGCTTAATTTTTTATTATAAGCAATTCAGCACTGTAAGTTTGGTTGCATTCAGTAAGATCCCAGATGCACCAATACAGTGGGTTACACTGTAAGTCTGGTCTCATTCATGATTAGATATTCACAAAGAGTGCAGTTTATCAATGCAACAGTCTGGTCAAGTTCAAAAGAACTTGCATGAACACAGACTCACAAACAGTGCAGTGCAGCAAACGATCGTAGATCGTTTTAGATTGGTTGTGATTCACTAGACCTGCAAAATAGAAATGTATACCACCATGTACAAGTGTTTCCAAGTATGCTCCAGAGGCACAGATCTTACCAAAGAGGCATCCATACTTTAAGAAAGGAGAGCAAGACTTGTCTGCTAGGTGGTTGTATTCTCATCTTCTGCCATGGAAGATTTCAAATGCCAAATTATACTCTTCTGGAGAAGTGGAGGTGAGAATGTAGTCAAATATTCTGTTAGCTGCTGCCATTAATGGGGGGGGCAGACATTTTATATGTAAATGAGTGTTACGACCCGCCCCAGGAAAAGGGGAAGGGGGGTAACTCAAGTTTTTATCAATAATTCCCTTGGGGTGGATTAAAGTGAAACGACACTAAATAATCGGTGTCTGAAAACAAAAGTTTATTTTAACAATCTTGTATCAACAAGCATGCTAACAGTTTGGGTGCTGTCATACAACAGTGTGACACAGAGATAACCTTTGGGGGGGGAGAAAATGCATAGGGGAGAGAAAGGCAGGATAAGAGCAAGGGAGAGTAAGAGAAAGAAAAGCTGAGAGTGGACAGATGTATATAGTCACCGCCCACGGGGTCCAGCGAT